ATAATTGTACAAAGACGGGACTGAGCCACATCATACCCGTAAACATATCGTACCAAAATCAAAAGCAGCTCCGGATCAAGTGGAGCACGTCAACTCTCACTGATCAAGGATCCTAAGGAGGGGGCCGTCAACTTGCCAACCTGCACCTGCGGGCATGAAACGCAGGACCCGTAAAATAAGGCGTTAGTACGAAAAATGTACTGAGTATGTAAGGCATGAAAATTCGTACGTAAAAGATTGCGTATAAATTTGAATAACTTTGTAAATTCTAAAATATTTATAATATCATGCACGTGCGTATAAATGTCATGCCATGCATAGGTATGGGTGTACATATCCCATCATATCGTTTCGGCCACTATGGGCAACATCATCAACATTTACCAACTGGTCAAAGTGGTGGTGCGTATATAACGTCGTAACTTTTTTCCATATCCCATATACATATATTTACATATATATGCGTATATAATACCATCTGGTCATGGGTCAATGCACATGTATAAATGAGTGAAATGCATGAAAAATACATAAAAATCTTAATATTCCTTCCGAATAAACTTTTTCAATTGTTTATTATTCTAAGACCCATGAACAGAAGATAATAATAATCCATATGGGGAATAGACACCCATAGTATTTCTATGAATAGAGTAATTTATGAAAACTGTGCGTTTGCTCGTTTCTATAATTTGGACTATTCCAAAAGAAAAAAGAGATGGCCTTAACATACCTGGAGTAGGGAAAACTCCGTATAATATTCCATTGGAAACCTTCGTGGATTGAACTTAGAACCCTAAAAATCGGATTAAACTTCTGCTTTTTTTTAAATCCTTGAACAAAATTCGTTCCTGCTTCTTTGAACTTTATGAATCGAAATTCTGCTTTGGATTCTTGAAATTTTGGAACGAACATGCTTTTGCTTCTAACGTTTTTTGAAGAAACATGATATATCACAAAATGGATTATGAGTGTTCTTTGAATAAATTGAATCCTTATACTTTGAAGACTTGGACTAAGAGAATGCAATATCCTTCCCTTTGGATTTTTTGACGTTTTTGGTTTCCTTTTTGTCCAAATGAATGGATAATAACCTTTTGATTGCTAGTTCCCATAGATTCCTAAGTAGCCACATAAGTTAATATGAATGCTTAGTCACTTTCCATATTTTGTGGCTTCTTGCCACATTTTGGGTAAATAATTTATAATTTTTTTATCCACTTATTAGTTAATTGGGTAATATTTCGTTATTTGGTAATTAACTAATTACACGTATAATTAAGAATTATCTCAAATAACCTAAAAATACTACTCATTTTTAATATACTTTATATATATATATATATATCATATTATCACGACCATTTGGTACCTTGTATGGTACTAGTCCATAATTATCGGGTAGTATCGCTCGACCCGTACTTTATCCTAAATTGGCCATTTTCAACGAAACTCATTTTTTTAATTCGTGTACCATTTTATCATTCATGACATTTATTTCTCGCTTGTTATAATTAGCGTAACTACACTAACCTTAAAATAATCTCATCCCCGAGACTACGTCGATTAACTGAAGACGAAACTTTTAACGTACGAAAATGCGAGATGTAACAAAAACATAGTGAAATATTAAGTAATTTTAGATGAACTAATGACTGTAACATATTTCAGAGACATTGCAGCTTTCTTGTATTAGAATTTTGAGGGTCCTCCTCAAAATTCTGCCCCAATTTGGTAAATGATCCTCCGGTCGTTTTGCGTACGATGAGACTTACTGAACCTTCTCCGGGATTTTGAGAATCCCTTTCCGGAATTTTTAGAATCCTTCTCAAAATTCTGCCCAAGTTTCTTAACCAATTTCTGACTATCTGGCATATGATGGCGTCGGCTGGACTTGCTCCAGAATTTTGAGGGTCGTCCTCAAAATTCTGCCCCAGTTTCCGGTGCTGGGGGAAAATAAAAAATTTATTATGATATGACCGAACCCACAAGGCTTCCTACATATCCCCTCTTAAATGGAAATCAGTTCAAGCGTAGTTCAGTTACATCATATGAAGGAATGTAAACAATCTAAACATAGTATCTCTTGATTGCATCTGAATTAATTGGTTTCGGCCAAACTTCTCCATCCATTTATGCAAGTATGAGTGCTCTTGCTGTTAGCATCCGGTGAACCATATAAGGACCTTTCCAGTTAGGAGAGAATTTCCCTTTGGCTTCGTCTTGATGTGGGAAGATCTTCTTCAGCACCAACTGTCTTGGTGCGAATTGTCTTGGTTTGACCCTTTTGTTTCAGGCTCTAGACATTCTGTTCTGATTAAGCTGATCGTGACATACTGCGTTCATTCTCTTTCCGTCTATAAGGGCCAATTTCTCATAGCGGCTCCTTATCCATTCTACATCACTGATTTCGACTTCCAGTATAATTCTTAAAGAAGGAATCTCTACCTCGGCTGGAATGACAGCTTCGGTACCATAAACAAGTAAATAGGGAGTTGCCCCAGTTGATGTGCGGACCATAGTGTTGTACCCCAATAGGGCAAAGGGTAACTTCTCGTGCCATTATTTGTGATTTTCTACCATCTTCCTTAGTATCTTTTTGATGTTTTTGTTGGCAGCTTCCACAGTTCCATTCATTTGAGGCATGTATGCTGTAGAGTTTTTGTGCTTGATTTTGAAGGTTTCACACATGGCTTTCATCAGGTCACTTTTGAGATTGGTGGCATTATCAGTTATAATGGACTCGGTAATTCCGGATCGGCAAACAATACGATCCTTGACAAAGTCCGCGACAACTTTCTTGGTCACAGCTTTGTTAGATGCGACCTCTACCCATTTTGTGAAATAGTCGATGGCCACTAAAATGAACCTGTGCCCATTTGAAGCAGTGGGCTCGATCAGACCGATGACATTTATTCCCCAGGCAACAAAAGGCCAAGGTCCACTTGTTGCATTGAGCTCGCTTGGTAGTACCTTTATCACATATCTGCATGTACCTGGCATTGGTGGCATTTCTGTACATACCGGATGCAATCCATTTCCATGGTCATCCAAAAATATCCATCTCTGAGTATCTTCTTGGCTAGAACAAAACCATTCATATGCGGTCCACAAGTTCCGGCATGTATCTCCTCGAGCAATCTGGAAGTTTCCTTTGTGTCAACACACCTTAACAATTCCAGATAAGGAGTTCTTCTATACAGGGTCCCTCCGCTTTAGAAGAAGTGATTGGATAGCCTCCCCAGCGTGCATTTCTGAGTATGGTTTTCCTGCTCTGGATATTCTCCCCTTGCCAAATATTCTTTGATGTCGCGAAACCAAGATTTTCCATCCGTTTCTTCTTCAGCATGAGCACAATAAGCCGGCTGGTTATGGATTTTCACCGTGATAGGATCGATAAAATTCTTGTCTGGATGTTGTATCATTGATGATAAGGTGGCCAGTGCGTCTGCGAACTCATTTTGAATTCTGGGCACATGTTTGAATTCTATCTTTGTGAATCTCTTCATTAACTCCTGCACATGATACAAGTATGGCAATATCTTGGTGTTCTTCGTAGCCCATTCTCCTTGAACCTGGTGTACCAGAAGATCCGAATCACCAATTACCAGCAGCTCTTGTACATTCTTATCGATGGCCAGATTGAGCCCCATGATGCAAGCTTTATATTCTGCCATGTTGTTGGTGCATGAAAACCTAATCTTCGTGGATACAGGGTAATGTTGACCTGTTTCTGATACCAAAACTGCTCTGATGCCTACTTCTTTGAAGTTTGCAGCGCCATCGAAGAACATTCTTCAACTGCCGTAAGCTTCAGGAATGTCCTCTCCTACAAATGATACTTCTTCTTCATCAGGAAAATACGTTTTCAAGGGTTCGTATTCTCCTCCCACAGGATTTTCAGCAAGATGGTCTGCCAATGCTTGTTCTTTGACCGCCTTCTGAGTTACATAGACGATATTGAACTCACTTAACAGTATCTGCCACTTCGCTAACTTCCCGATTGGCATGGGCTTCTGAAAGATGCACTTCAGAGAATCCATCCTGGATATGAGGTATGTGGTATATGCACAGAAGTAATGCCTCAATTTCTGAGTTGTCCAGGTTAAAGCACAGCAAGTGCGTTCCAGCAGAGAGTATCGTGTTTCATGAGGTGTGAATTTCTTACTCAAGTAGTATATGGCTTGCTCCTTCCTTTCTGACTCGTCATGTAGTCCCAAAACACATTAGAAAGCTCCATCTAATACAGATAGATAGAGTAGCAAAGGTCTCCCAGGTTCTTGCGGGACTAGGACTGGTGGTGTGGACATTCCTTGATTTTGTCAAAAGCCTTCTGACAATCTTCGGTCCAACTCGTTTCAGCATCTTTCCTCAACATTTTGAAGATGGGTTCACATATAACTGTGGACTGTGCTATGAAGCGACTGATGTGGTTGAGACGTCCTAGGAAACTCATCACGTCCTTCTTCTTCTTTGGTGGCGGTAACTCTTGAATAGCCTTAACTTTGGACGGGTCCAACTCGATTCCTCGGCGGCTGACAATGAATCCCAATAACTTTCCTACGGGAACCCCGAGGTTCAATTTTAGATTGTACCTCCTTAGCTTGTCAAAGAACTTTTTTCAAATCCGCTATGTGATCTGCGACCCTATTGGATTTGATAATGACGTCGTTAACATACACCTCGATTTCCTTGTGTATCATGTCATGGAAGATGGTTGTCATGGCTCTCATGTAAGTAGCCACTACTACAAAAAGGGCCTTTGGTGGCAATTTTTTTGTGGCAATAAGGCAATTGCCGCTAATAGATTATTTAAGCTGAAATATTAGCAGCACATGACCATTAGCCGGTAAAAATATCCTTTTACCGACAATAAAATAAAATTGCCACTAAAAATTACTAATTAAAATTAATTGTTATTATTTTAACTTTCTCTCCGCACCTGAAAAATATAATCTTTCCCTCCATTTTTTTGGACAACAATGAATTATTCACTCTAATTAGAAAAAAATGGGAAAACCTATTCCCTTCATGGAACGGATACAACATTGCGCCCCATCAATCAGGTCTCAGTCAGGTCTCGGTCATCTTTTTCCTCTGCAACTAACGACATCGAATGACAACTCCTCTATAAGCCTATATCGATCAGGTCTCGGTCATCTTTTTCCAGAGATAAATCCTCTTCTTCCCCAGGTATAACTTCTCTTCTTACCCAGCAAGTGCAATTTAATATTGATTTTGGATTGGTGCTGCTCGTTTATACTCAATTTCGTCGTCAGTATTCTCCCTTTTATTTGTATCCAACCTCTCTTTTCGTGTAGGTTCAAGATTATTGCAGAAATCATTTTTCTCCTTCACTTTCTTGTCTTTATCGGCAAAAAAATCTGCTTACAAGTACAAATTTATAATTTTTGATATCCAACTATTGCGTTTTAGAATTTGTGAAAGTATAGTTTTTTAGCATATGCTAAGTCGTTTGTGGTAATTGGATGCTATTAAATTGATGTGCGATTGGTTGAGTTTATTCCTTAATTCCTCTATTGTGTTATGAATTGGTTCCTCTGTATGTTTTCGAAGGCTACTGTTATTCTTGTGACTATTTAGATATTTTTCTAAGTATCGTCGATGCATATTGATGTTTTCATTGAATCTACTACTAGTCGAGATATGAATCCACTAGTCGACATATATACTGTTTTTTATTGTTGTTGATTGATACGAGCTTTTCTGATTTTCATAAATCTGATGCCTCTGTACGAAATAAGCATATGCTGAGTTTGACTGATTTGATCATTTTGCTCTAACTGTTTCTCCACGCTAGGTTGTTCGTTTTACTAATCAGAAAGTTTTTCAATTCATCTAACAATCTACACTGCTATTTTCGCAATGAAGGTGGCAAAATAGTGAAGTTAAGAAAAATTATCGAGGGGTGTAGGCGAGTTCTCCACAAGCTTTATGATGTGTTCTCCTGAGTAATGAACAAGTGAGAATCATTTCCAGCAGGCTTTAATGGTGAGTTAATATTGTTTAAAATTGTTATGATTTGTAAAATTGAAGTACATACTCTTGATTTGCAGCACTTGTGGGATTTTACTATTCAATTAGTGATTAGTACTTCGGTGCTGCAAATGTTCTAGTTTGGAGACTTTGCCTCTTAAACATAGGAGAATAATTAGTTTTCCCCTGGTTTCTTTAAATGGTCCTTAGTTTCTTATTTGATTTTGAGGTAATATGATTATTGCCATCACACAACAAATTGCTTGGTGGTGTTTAAATATTGAAGAAATTAAATTGATAGCAATAGCAAATCATGCCTTTTCAGCAACTTAATTTTCTTTGTTTTCTTGTGGGCAAACTAATACATTGCTACTTTTTTTGCTTTGAAAATCTTTCCAAAGAGTTTTTGCTGAAAGACACTTGAAAAAAATATTCCTGTAATTTTTACAAGTTTATTTCTTGTTTCTGATGTGTTACATGTATTATGGGGTAAGTGGATCAGTAAATCATTTCTTGCAAGTGAGGCATTTGCAGTGTACTTTATGAATATTACGAATGTTTTAATTTCAAAAATTACATCTTCAACAGTGTGTAACCTATTATAAAACCCTGAGATCAATAAAGGAACAAGGTGAATAGATATCCTTTGTTGTACACCTATTATTGTTGTTTTATAAAGGTCATGCATTGTAGGGATTTCCTCATCCTCTATAAAGGTCAATTGTTCTTGTAGTCAAGGTAATTGTAGTAGGCACCTTGCACCAGAAAAAGAAAATAAAAGGGCTTTGGTTCTAATCCCTTTTTGTGGTTTCTTAAGGTGAATTCATATATTTATCCCCTCTTTAAGCAATATTATGTGAGTAATAGACTATTATACTGTTATGTGGATTCTTAAGCATGAGCTATTCTTGGTGCAGGACCGTAGGTTGGTAATGAAGAGCAAATTCAATTGTCAGGATTCTTGAAAAATTTGTTCTTCCCAAGATAGTTTGACAAACTTAAGACTACATATTTGAAATAGCTAAGTGTGAGGAGTACTTGTATTACACACAATTATGGATCATTAATATCAGATGTGAAAACAATAATGAATAAACAAACAAATATTGTATCAGGTTGAGAGGATTTTCTCTTCTTCATGTTGGCTCACTCCTGCTATATACAAGGAATTGTTGTCCAGATTAGCTTTAAGCCCCGATACAATTAACAAGTGATTGAAAGCTTGGAATTTGAGAACTAATCCAAATTAGAGTGTCTTTGAAGGTCACATGTACATTCACTATTTAATTGAAGATAAACACTTACATGTTGGCATATAGTTAGTGTTGAAACATTTACGATTTCTGTTGTCCGTTGTTTTGTTATGATACTGTTATTTAACAGATTTAACCATATAAGTTTTTTCTATTTGATGACCTTTGAATCTTCCATTCTAGATAATTTGGAGCCAAGAAAGGTTCGTGGGCCTACTTTACTAAAAGATATTTGGAAACTTCCTCTGTAGAAGTTAGTTAATGTGTCGTCTGAATCTGGAAAGCTAGTTTCTTCAGTGAAAGCTTAAGGCAGTGTTTTGTAGTGAGTGTAGAAGAAAAGCTCAAATATTTTTCTGGTTATTGCTGGAAAAGTTGTTATCAACAATATCAAACCAACAGGTAAACTAATCTCTCCTATTACATTTGATATGTAATGTGGATCCAATTTTAGCATCTGCATTAAACCAAATATAGTAATTAAGAGATGATGAAAATGAATAATATATACTGACAGGAGGGACATAATATCTTTTTCAGCTATGAGAATTGGTCTGATATGCTATAAATCATCTTGAGGCACACTAGATCATAGCTAGTATTTGTCATATGACACAAGAGATTGTAATGTTAAAAGGAAGCTATAAGATTTATCTACTTCAACTTATAGTAAAAATCTTAAAGTCTTCCGAGGGATGTTGAAAGCTTAATGACACTACCTATCTTCACTTATCCTTAGTCCCGTTTGTTTACTACAATATAGCTTACCCTGTATTCTTTCCAATTTCTTTTCCAGATGCATCTTAGAAGTCACTAAGTAAAAGATTGTTTACCGTGAAAATGGTAACAACAATTAAATTTATAAACGGGACTCTAAAAATATGTGATCTAATTTTATGCTAGTTGTTAGAGCAGTAGATGCTAAGAGTATAAGGTTTAACGAAGAAATACAAGCTAAAACGGGGTAGTAATGAAACCGAGATGCTTGCATCCCGAGCCTCGGATTGGTTGATGAAGGACCTCGAGGTTGATATCTGGCTCGAGCTCGAGCTACCGGGGGTAGTCGGGAATGGGATAACAGTTAAGGTATGATCAAACAAGGCTCTGGATGGCCAATACCAAGAAATAAATGAAGAACAGTATGAAAACAGTAAACGCTAAGAGTAGCCTCGAGCTAGTATGGACGAGCAAGTTAGAAAGAAAAGAGAGAGAGAGATATTATTGATCTGGTGGAGAATAGTTGGAGCAATATCAGCCCTTTACAAAGTGGCATGGATTCCCTTTATATAGGAGAGAGAATACAATATAGTACAGAGTGCATTAAATATAAAGATATGGAGATGGGACGGCTAGGCACGATGCTAGACCCTGCTGATGCTGGCTGCTTGCCTCGGGAATTCCCTACCCTCGGAACCTTTGTTGGATCGTGGGCGAACCTCAGGGGAGGGAGCTCGATCGTAGTCCTGCAGCCTCGAGATACTGATATGACCCTCTGAATGCACCTTAGTGGCGAGAAATAGACGCCTCCGATTTCACCGTATACAGATAGTCTCCATGTTTCCTAGAATGAAGTAATAGGAAATGATTTTGAACCGTCGTCTCGAGGTCATCATTGTCGTGAAGTCAACCATTTAAGAGCATTAAATGGCATATTCCAGAGAACTGTGCAAGGTTGCCATCATATGCAGTAATCGAGAAACCCACGAACTGCCATTGGCTCGTCCCTTCCGCTTCCCCAGCGGTTCCTATAAATGCATCGCTTGCTTGACACTTTCCACTTTCACCCCACTTCCAAGCTCATGAGTAAGAATTTTTGTATTTGACAACCCTTCATCTTTTCATAGAAGGATTTTTACCATTGACATGGCTAGTACCTCTAGGACGGTTCCCCGACGGAATGACGCTGCATCATCATTCTGATCGCCTATGGAAGAAACCATAGCGATTCCCTCCTTGGAACAATGTACCCCACCTAATCTCGACGTGTCAGAGGATTTTAATGTCGATGCCACTTCATCTACACCGGGCCGATGCAAGCATGTGTCTCGATACGTTAGCGTTGTGACCAATATTAGAAAGGTGAGGAAGGACTATCGATGGAGCAGGGCAGTGGAGGTCCACTCCCGGTCCCGACGATAATATAACTGACTTTAAGGCTGGCTTCCTTCACGTGTACACCTACCCATTCACCCTGGGACCTGATAAATCTGTCGAGTCCTCTCCCCTAGAGATAGACCCGGTTATCCTTGATTTCTGCGACCGATATCAAGTGACGCTTGGTCAGATCTACCCTTTTTTTTGGAGGATAGTGTTGGTGCTTCGTTATTTCACCGAAGGGGTTGAGGGTGAGGTTTTTACCCTCAATCATCTGATCACGATGTACAGCTCTCAATTGTATTGAGGTTTAATCAGGCTCCGCCATCGGTCCAAAAAATCTTTTTTCACGAGCGTCGATGAGGGAAAGGATCTAGGATGGATGAGTAGGTTTATCCGAGTAATGACCTCAGATATCATCCTGACCCAGAGGATGCCCTTTTCTAGAGAGGTGGAATACCCGACGTAAGCAATTTTCCCCTTAGCTGCTTTTCAACTATTCTTCCTTTTGAAATAATAATCTCTTTGTGCTCCCTGCAGCCGCCGCTTGGCACCCGAAGGTGGTCATAGATTTGTCGGCATGGATCGGGTGGTTGAACGATAAGTTCCCATATCGCGTTCGGTCTTGGACCGGCCTGGCTAAGAAGCGTTGGGTGGCCAAGAATCATGGTGAGGTTCCTTTACCGCCTATGCTTTGTATTTTATGTTTCTTTCTGAGCCCTTAGAAAAAACGTATTGCGGTTACTGCGCTAGTGCAGGTCTTGGCGAGAATATGCAGATGAGGCCACCCCCTAATGGCGAATTAGGGGCCTTGGATCCCGACACGAGCAAGAAGAGGAAAAGCAGGGTAGATGTTGTCCGTCCTGCGATAAAGAAAACCAGGTCACTCGAGCATCGAGCCACTGTTGGGACTGTTGCTTCAACCTTAGAGTCGAATCCTGATACCGAAGGAGAGGATGATGATGGGAGCCTGCTAAGGAGGACAACGACGTCGAGTGTGAGAGACTTGCAAGTGCCTCAGTCGGAGGCTGCTGAGTCCGGAACGACTGGCTCCGATCGAGCTCGTGGGTCGGGGGTCCTTGAAGAGGACGTTGATGTAGCTTCAAATTGCGCAGCCGGATTTGATGCAGAAGCCAGGGGGACCGCTGGCATTGATCCTGAGGGGTTGGGGCTCGGAGCCTTCCAGGAATGTAGGTTGCCACTTCGAGAAATTAGCGACCTGAACGACTTTATTTCGAGCTTTTCGATCTCGTCAGGGGAACTGCGGGATGCCCACGGGATGATCGGCGCCACAGCGAGGACTCCTCTCAAAGGAGGAGACTTTATTGCCAACATCTTTGATGGTGTTATTGATAGAGCTGATCATGATATTCCTGGTGCTGTCAAAGCGGCGGAAAAGTTCATGCATCAGGTGATAGCCATTTCTCGTGCATTTCTTTCATCCTCAAGCATCATTCTTCGTCTTTCTAACTTTTTTGTTATGCCGTAGTGTAAGGAGATGTACGATCATGCCATCCTCCAGCTCTGTGGGGAGCTTTCTTATCATGAAAAGGAGCGTAAAAAAGTTACTTTGAAGCTGCAGGATTCAGAGGCTCGCTCTGCCCGGGGAGATAAAGAGCTAGGAGAACTTCGGGCCGCTTTGGAAACGACGCTCCGGGAGAAGGCCAATCTTGTTGTTCAGGTACTTTGCCTTGCTAGTTCCTAACTTTTATCCCGTGTTCACATATATTTATTGGCTTACTCCTCTCACATAGTCGAGAAGAGTGGTTCGCAGATTAATCAATTGAATGCGGAGATCTTCGGGCTGAGGGAGCAAAATGAAATAGTGGCCGGGGAGTTGGCGACATCCCGGATCTTCTCAAGGATGCTCGCAGGGAGATTGTTGCTTTGGCCGCGGTTAAGTCCGAGGTCGAACAAGATGCTATTACTTATCATGAGGATGCGGCCACAATGCATATAATAGCTCGTGACATATCCATAGCAGCTGAGCAGAAACTAATCCGAGCTATTGAGCATGCTAAGGCGGAGGCGAGGAGAGAGACCTTGGAGGAACTCGGGGCCAGAGGTATCGACCTGTCAGCTGATCTTAAGGAGACCCGTGCAATGGAGGAAAAACTGGCGCTTTTGATTGCCCCCGATAAGAGCGAATATAATAGTGACGAGGAGTAGTCTCCGAGTCATTTTTGTATACCTTCCCTTTTCCTATGTATGCGGCCCCCCGGGGAATGGACAGTGTAAAGATGTTTTTCTTTTTGACAATGTAGAAAAGGAGTTTTCATTCTGTCAGCCCTTCACCTTGCCCCTTTGCTTTTGCGTTCTAGCTTTTACCTCTCAGCATCGGCCCTTTGGGGCCTACTCTCGGATCAATCGGGGCCCTAAAACTGGCCATGTCCCGGGGTTAAATCGACAGCTCCTCTCGAACCGATGTTTGTGACATCGGGTGTCTCCCTGAGATCCCGTAGTTTTCTGAGTCACGTGGGAGCCAGAGTGATTCCGCCAGTACGCTCCCCTAGGAGAGGGTGACGTTAACGTGGCCAGAATTAATTGGCCCTCTTGGGTAAGCTGGCAGTTGTTGCTTTGCCCCTATATATTTTTTCAACTGTCTCTTAAGTGGCGAATTTGTTGTTCTTGATAAGGCTATCTCTTCTGCAAAGCCTGGCACTTTGTGTTAGTCCTTCCGCTTCCTTGTTTCAGAAAATTTTTGCTCGGATCCTCACTTTTCCCCCTAATCTACCGTAACCATGGTCGCTGCTTCAACGTCTGATCATCGGGTAGAGGGGAGTCTCTCCTGCATTCCACATTTGGTCGGTGCCAGCGGCTCGCCTCCGATGTCGGGAGAGCGAGGCTCGGGGTGCCCTGCATCGAAGAGGACTGTCACGCCGGGGAAACCTCCCAATGTTCCGGGCCATCGAGAGCATGTGTCGAGGATCATTTCATCGGTGAGGGAGGAAATCCTTGAGATGATCAGAAAATATTGAGGATGGGGGGAAGGCACAATTTTGCAAGTACCTTCCCCCGAGGAGAGTGTCATCACATATGTTGAGGGATTTTTGAGCGTATACACTCATGTTTTTGCACCAAGTTCCCCGGACTGGGTCGTTTTTTATTTCTGTCGAAGATATCAAGTAACGTTGGCGCAGGTTCATCCCTCTCTTTGGAGAAGAGTGTAGGCGATGACATATTTTGCCGACAAGGCCGGGATAGAATTTACCCTCAGCCACCTCGTGAGGTTGTATCAGCCATTGCGCTACTGGGGCCTGATTACTCTTCAGCGTCGATCCACCCGAGCTCCTATAATTGGAAGCAAGGAGGATAAGGATCGTGGATGGATGAATCGGTTCGTTCGAATCCGAACGACCGATGTTATCCCTCGAGAATTTTTGTCGTTTCTTGAGAAATGGAACTTCACACGTAAGTGCTTCATATGAATTGTCTTCGTTTCAACCTGAGGTTGGCTCCATAATGATCTTTCTGTTCTTTATTTGTAGCAACTCATTGGTTGCCCAGCGAGGTCCCTGATTTAGCCGAGTGGTCTCATAAGCTGACAGCTTGCTCGATTTATGATAGGCGCCGATGGAGAGGTTTGTCAAAAGGGAGATGGGAGGCGAAGCACCATGGTAGGTGCCAGGCACTCTGCCTCCTAAGAAATGGAGTCTTTCTTGCCGGCTTATTTGATCTATTTGTCGCAGGTGTCGAGAGTCCTTTCGAGGGAAGACAGTTTCCCCCGGGGGAGAAGGAGAGGTTGCTGGCCTCGAGATGACATCCTCCCTTTCATCACTACTTGACCTCGACCCTGGTCAAAGGGATGACGTCATCAAAGACCCCAAACAATAGAGGCCACAGGAGAAATCGTAGAAGACCTCGACCCCGTCCAACTTGATGATAACGACCACAGCAAGAGAGCCTATAGCAGCCACAAGCTTCAAGAACCAGGTAAATTCCGTCATTTCTTAACTAATAACGTAGACTTGTTTGCCTTTTCCCATGCATACATGCCCGGTATCTCGAAGGAGATAGCGACACACAAGTTGAATGGCGATCCATTTTACCCTACCCCCCACCCCCGGTTAGGCAAGTTAGGCGAAAATTCAATTCCACAATAAACGATGCAGTCCGCGATGAGGTTGAAAAATTCCTGGAAAATGGCTCCATCAGGGAATCAAAATACCCCCCCCCCCCCC